TTGAAGCCCTCGACGGAAGGCATGTGGACGGTCCAGGAGGACAGCGAGTCCGGCATATGCCACGCATGCTATGAGCTGCACGTCCGCTCCACCCCATTTGAACGCCACTTCTACTTCAAGAATGGCACCAGTACAGAGACAGAGTCGCAATGGGCTTGTGATATCGGCCTTGGTGGTGCGATTGGCCGCATGCTTACAAAGGAACTCCTGTCTCCTTCCCCCGACTACCATCGCTGGCTGTCCATATCCATTGCGCGCCACTCCTTGCCATTCTCATGTCCCGGGGTGGGCATTGCGCTTACAGAGACCCAGAGCGATCTTGTATATGCCGCCAAGGCTCCTAATATTGGTATCTTCTGCCGCTCTTGCTATTATGATCATGTCTTTGGTACGCCTCTGGAGAGCGTCTGCCATGAGATCCAGCTTCCTCCCGAACAGTTGGCTACTACTGCCTGTAATCTAGCCAGCAGCTTCTCTCAATTTGCCATGAGAATTGCAGTCAGGCGAGGTGATTTCTCTGTCTGGACCAAGGCCGTCGAGATCCAGCCCAAGGTACCTGCCTGTGTTGGGCTTATTGGCGTCGACGAGGCAGAGCTGCGCTCCCCTCAGGAATTCCACTGGTACAAGTTACGCGCCCACCCAAACATCGAAATCTGCCCGTCTTGCTACCACATATGCATCCAAGTGTTTGGTATGGATAGCCTCTTTGAGCGTCTGGATAGGCCACTGGTAGATGGGCTTGTCCGCCAGTGTTTCCTGACGCTCGTCGTTGAAGATGATGATCACAGCGTAGACGACATCAACAGCTTCTCCAGCACGGTCTCATGGCGTGGCAAGGTTCTTCGGGATGGTATCGCCTTCAATAGCGTATCACACGGTGATATCCGTCCCTTCAATGCCTACGCCGAATTGATCGCCGGGATGCCGCCCCCTTGCTTCATGAACTCTCGGGTATGCCTGCCTGCGAACAACAGGCAATACCTGGGCCACTCGGCCAACCCAGACGACCCCGACGATTTCCACTTCGCCGTGTGCGCCGAGTGCTACGCCAACCACGTCAAAGGCACCGACCTCGAGTACATGATGACGGATAAGACCGCCGCCGTCAACGCCCTGCCGGACGGCTTCGTCTGCCAGTCCCATACCCTCCAAGTACGCCGAATCCTCAGCGAGGCCATGACCCGAGGGGACTGGGAGCACTTTGCCCAGTACTGGCGGAAGAGGCAGGAGGTGTTCCAGAGGTTCCTGGCTGCCAAAACACGCTACGACGCCCAGATGCAGAAGCAGCTGGCCATGAAGGCGCAGGTAGATATGCAGGGCCAGATGATGGCCATTAACCTGATGCAGAGCCTCAATGCGAACCAGAATGCCATCATCTCGGGCATCGGTGGATCCGTGGCCGAGGCTGCCGCGAGTGATAACGGCCAGCGGTTTGGAAACTCGTCGGTAAGTTTGTCCTGCTCACATCTTTCAGTGATATAATCGTCCGCCTCTTTCACAGGGTATCGAAGGAAGGTGCACTGTAGATTGGGGAACTATTTGCTAACAGATTGTAAATAGGTCGGTTATGGATATCTGACGGCGAATGGTGCAAGGGCTGCAATGGATCAGCAGCAGGCAGTCCAATTTGCGGCTCAGATGCCGGTCAAGGATATGAGTCTGTACCAGGATAGCGGGAACACGATCTCGGACAGCTATGTCATCCAGGCTATTTGGGATGAGGTGAAGAAGGAATGGGAAGCCATCCAGTAATACTTGTAACTTAATCTGTGTGCGATACTGCTCTTTTAACTATGACGGTCTATAATGAGGAACTATATTGAAGTCATTTGTATGAGACTGATGCATCCTTTTGTTTTGCTGCAAATATAAGAGTGATCTATGACGGAGGATAAGTTAAGTACGCGCCCCATCTCCTCCACTCCGTTCTGACGAGAGTCTTCGGAACGTGACCCAAGGGTCAAACGGCATGTGCACCCAGTGATCATAGTCAGCCCTTGCATGGCATCTCCTTTTCAACGCCAAATCAAGAATCCAAGGTAAGTTCCGTGTAATATCGCACAAGGTACTATATTTACATTCAGCCCTACCCCGGCGTCCCGGTTATTAGTTCGCCCAGCGTGAAGACATGGTGATTGATCATCACATGTCAAGTGGGTGACAGAAGAAATGAGGCACCTAATGGAACAATCGGTAGCGGACAGGCTACTTTCTACAATACTTGGAGAATAAAGGGACAATATCCGCTATATTATCTCCGAGGTGTGCATTGTTCACACTCAATAGTCTGACGATACCGGTCGCAGACTTAAGAATAAGAAGCTTAATGTCTGAGTGTCTCAATTCCAATGTCACCCACTTGATGTGTATTGTAGAGTTCTCAAGTGTCATTGCCCTGGAGTTGTAGTTTCACATTCTAATTTGGAAAACGGCATAAACACAGACAATCCCAATCTAAGAACGACCCAAGAAGCGAGATATTCTACAACAACGTCACCAAATCCGAGGGTGTCACAGTTCTTCTTCTTCTCCTAGGGGGTGGCCATCCAAGCCCGCGACTTCTGTAACAGCATCAGCTCCTACACAAGCCGCGGCTTTCTGGGCAAATTCGAACCATCGATGCAACCAGCATGACAGATTCACGGGGGGCCCCCAATGCTGTCCAAAGTCTACCCCCAAGGAAAAGATGTCGAAAGAGGAGATGCAACTGTCTCCTCAGCCACTCAATGAAACCAACTGTTCGAAGTAGTACAGCATCCCTGTCATCTCCAGCCTAGAACAGTCGTCGTAGTGCGAACAAACACTAGGTTTGTTGAGATACAAACCTTTCAATTCATGCCAGCCTCCTCCGTTCCCTCAACCCTTACATTACTGCCTAACTTGGCATCTGCTTGGGACCAAGATGCGGCATCGTGAGTGCGCAGTCTGACTCGGAGCTCCCCTCCGCCAAGCACACGGCGCGAGTACGCCGAGACCGAGAAGACGGAGAGGCCAAGTCTGCGCCTCCATGACCGCCCACCAAACGCCTGGGGAGAGATCCTCCCCGATCCCCCACAAGACCTAAACGCAACGCCGGAGCATCGCCAAGACACACCATAGGGGCAGGGAGGCTCGAGATGTGGCGAGGTGGAGGCTCTGCTCGCCGCAGACCCAGCCCATTAACGGGATGTGCTCCGGCCGGGTCGGTGTCTATTCGAGCGGAGGCCCGCCCACGAGATGGACGGCGTTCGCCAAATAAGCGACCAACCCGTATTATCATCTGTACGGCCTCGGCCTGCCCGACACGGGGTCCGAGGCGGAGTTGGTGCAGATGCAGACATTCGGAATGTCATCGGCGTTACTCTTACTTTGTGGCTTGCGGTTGGGTTGGGGGAGCCGTAATACTAGTGGAAGGTTTCTAGAACAAACCTAATTTGGTTTGAAGGCTATCTCTACGCTAAAAGAGCTAAGAAAGCTAAGATAGAGGGTGGCGGAACTTCACTCGACAGTGACGTGCGTTGAAGGTAGGCCATTCGAACCTACCCTACATCCAACATTTGGTCTACTGTAGAATGCGTCTCGCAACGACGGTTATCCTGGAACCCAAACAAAACATTCTTATCTGGTGGATGTAGAATCATGACGGGAAATTATGAAGGTTTAGATCTAGACTGTTGACGTGGGTCTGTTATTAGATATCACACAATATGGTGCGCCTTGGCAACCATATCGGGAGCTTGGTGTAGGTAAGAAGCGATTGAAGTCCAAGCAAGCCAAATTGTATCACATCAAGCTAAAAGTCAATTGATAACTATGCTCACCGTATAGTCGCGGTGCCCAACACGAGCAGAAAGAAAGACCTGCATCTGTGGCGTGCTCTAGTCGGATCTCAATTTATCGTCGTCACCTACCTCGGCTGGGTCGTGGTCGGTCGGTGATGGGATTCACTCATCTGGCTCGAGTCAGCACCTGGATGCCTGCTCACCGCCAAGACCCAAACTTGGATATATCATATCACAAAACCAGACTCAGCCCGACCGGGTCCGTTTGCCCCCCAAAAAGGCGACGACCAGCTCCGGTCGGCGGCGCGTGGCGTTTTCCGATCGCGAGCACTGGAGCGAGCACGAATGCCGTATCAGTGTCCCGGTCCACCTGGAATGTAAGACTGACATTGCCTGCCGCCCCCGGAGCTCTCGCAAGCTGCGCCACGGCGATGAGTCCGTCCGGGGAGGTGCGTGACTGGTCAGCTGACCAGAGGCTGGGCACGTGATAGCGTAGCGCACGGACTGAACCGGGGGACGGCCAAGAACAACGGAGAGGAACTAGCAGGGGTTCCAAAACGTCCATTGGTTACAGGGGATAAGAAAGGTGGGGGCAATAGTGTCCTGTTTTCTGTCATGGAGACAATGGGCTTCTTCGTTTTCGTTTCCATGCCGGCAAAGGTTGGGCTGCTATTGGCGCAGGCCGGTGGACTTATCTCTGGCTCTGTATTGGAAGGAGCCGAGATACTAACCGGGCGTACGTAAGTCGATCCGCTATATCGGCAGGATCTAAGCTGTTACGTCGTGTTTAGTATCAGTAGCACGTAGCCTAATGTTGGCAGTCTGGCGTGATTGAGGGTTCCCCAGCCGGGTGTTTCTCGGGGTCTGCCACCCTTCTGACCTCATGGCTCACGGCTCGCGTCGAAGATCAGAGGAGGCGAGACGAAAGGGACGAAAGATAGGCGCGTGGGCAGCAATTTCTTCCTGCATCCTCCGCTGATTTCCCTATTCTATCGCAGTGCATATGCAGCGCGGACGCCCAAGATAGGATCGCAGGCCGGCGATTGGCAGCGCCGGGCCCCCATGGAAGAGCCCAAGGTCGCACTGATGCACCCATATTCCTATGACTAATGGGCCCGGTCTAGTCGCGAGTAGCGGCTTTTGCATCGCCGGGGGGCAAGCATGAAGGTGGTAGCGATATGATGTAGGGCCATGATTGGGCGACTCTGCGTTTAAGCTTAGGCGGTTTAACCTTAAAAAATGATGCCTCGATTTCTCGCCCGGGCTTCCCCTCACTTCGCGCGGCACCAGGACAGGAGGGGAAAGGACGCAGAAAAAAAGAAAACAACAAGGGGAGCCATTCTGAGACACGCGCATGCAGACGAATTCTTCCCTGCCGGTGAGCGGCCGCGACGGGGGAATACGGAAGCAGGAAGAGTTGGAATGGGCGGCAGCGTTGGATGGGCCGCTCATTTGCTGAGGGCTTGCGTGCGTGCAGAGTTTTTGTCTGAGTCGTCATCAATGCGTTTCTGAAGCTCAGAGAGAACCCATCGCCAAGACACTGACAAGCCTTGGCGTCGTATTTCCCACCACCACTAAATCCTCACCATGGCACAGTGCGCCCCGTACTGGCTGGTTGAGCCTCAGTGGGGAGCTGGAGCGCGTGGGAGAGAGACAAGAGCCAGAGACAAGAGGCAGCGATCAGGTCCAGGTCCAGGTCCAGGCACTGGCCAATGTCCAAGACAGAATCCCAGGCCCCCAAAAGCCGTTGTAGCACGCACAGGAGTTCCCGAACCATCGCCAAGGCAGAGTGCATGGATAGCATGCCAGGGGAGATGAAGCTGTGCCGGCCAAGAAGTGTCAAGCCGGCTCCCTTTCTGGTCATTCGGATGCGCACCGGCAACAGGGAGATGGAGAAAAAAAAATTCAATGGAGTTGAAGTCCGGATCTGGCCATCGTCATTAGCAGGGGCTAGGCCGAAATTTTTCTGCCGCCTCTGTTGATGTGTCCCGTGCCGTAGTGTAGCATTGTGAGACATGAGGGAAGAGACAAGGACGCATGGCAGTCTGCCGCATCCTCCTGGTACCCGCGTTCGGAGAAGAGGCGAGCCCGACGTCCTGGGCACATGACGGGCGCATCTCGACTTTGTGGAGGTAAACGGGATTGGCGATAACAATGTGAAACAGGGTGACAAGGGGGACAATGGAATGACATAGAGTTGAAGGCATCCCCAGGAGTCCATCTTAGATTAATTGGGCTAGCTATGCAGACATGGTACGATCTCCACGAGCCAAGCGATCGCCCGGTTGCGAGGTCGATAAGGTCGGTAGGCAGAATGATGTCGACTGGATGCAGCTTTGTGGGAGAGTGGAAGTGGAAGAGCGACTATTGAGTGATAGCCAGCCATCCAACCATCCACCCTCCCATGCAGTAATCTGCCAAAGCTGCACTCGTGTGTCAACACTCGCGTCAACGGTGGGGGGGATTTGTGGTGCCATGCTATAGCAGGAAGCTGCTGTGTATAATCCAATTGCGCACATCAATGATACTCGAGGGTTGCAATTGGGATGGAGAAAACCACAGACGTAGCAGAGGGGAGATGATGTCATGTTGGCTGGCCGCGATGTGGTGCAGGGCCTGGAGCCTGCTGAGGCCGGTGGAGAGAGACGCTGCTTGCAGTGGAGGGAGGCTGGATGCAACCCCTGCGGAGCGCTGGAGGAGCGCTGAGCCGTCCCAAGATACAGGGCAGGGCAGGTGGGGGACAGTGCGATTAAGGCCAGCACGTTCTGAACTCCAGGCGTTCCCAGCACTGCCAAGCCCCCGCCGCAGCGCTACAGCCACTGGACAGCAGCGCACCCGGGCAGTTCTCACCACACGCACCCACTAACTGCTAGGGGTGCCCTAGGCCTGTAGGCTCGCAGCTTGGGGGATCGCTAGAACAAGGTGTGGAGGGGTCGCCACTCTTGTGGGAAGATCCCTGCGACTGGCGCTAACAAGTGGCCCAGTGGGGCTGGGCTAAAGGGCTTGGCGCAGGGTGCTATTGTGACAGCCAATTCCGCAGCGCAGACGGACTGTTTTCTGTCCCCTCTGTTGGGTGTAATTCCAAAGGCAAATAGAGGGAGCAATCGCTGCCATGCGCTGCGTCGGCAAGGGCCCCATGTGCGAGCGCGAAGCCGGTCCAGCGTCGTCATTGTCACCATGGACAAGCTCCGTGGGCGACGGCAGGCGCACCTTCCAAGTACTTATACCTGCCCTTCCCCCCACAACCGGCCTCGTTCTTGGTCTTCTCTCTTCTCCAACAAGGTTTTAATCCACTCTCTTTCTTCCAAGGTGCCAAGCTTACATCTTGGTCCTTGAAGTCTTGCCTGTACAGTCGTTTCAGGAAGAACCGCATTGCCCGGTTCTCCTCCCGGACCTCCTCCAGGCCCGTATATATTCGTCTATGAAGCACTCAATCATCACCATTGCCATCGCTTCTCCCTCCATTGCAATTGAGCAGCGAACCCCCTCCTACCGCCATCATGCCGAAGTCTCAGACGGTGATAACGGCTGAGTACCCCAAGCATCCCTTCTTGCTCACTGTCGAGGAGACGGCGCAGGCCCTCAACACCGACATCGACAAGGGTCTGACGACAGCTCAGGTCAATGAGCTGCACTCCAAATACCCTCCCAATGAGCTTGATGTAGGGGGCACCGTGCCCTGGTATAAGATCTTTGCGAAGCAGCTCTTCAATGCTATGATTCTGGTAAGCTTCCGCCACTCCAACGTACATCCGGGCCGGGCTGTCATCCGACTGCGCCTCCCGGCACATGCACGCTATTGAGGACGTTTGAGCTAATATGGACATGTCTCACAGGTTCTTGTCTTTGCCATGGGTCTTAGTTTTGGTATCAAGGATTACATTGAGGGTGGTGTGCTTGTTTTCGTCATCGTGCTCAATGTGACCATTGGTTTCTGGCAAGAGTACCGCGCTGAGAAGCGCATGGATGCTCTCCGCGCCCTCTCCTCTCCCAGTGCTATGGTCTTGCGCGATGGCAAGACTCAAGTTATTTCTAAGTAAGTGTCACCGATTGGGGCAATTGATTCCTCAACTTGCTTTTTTGCCTACTGCTATTGACGAATTGTAACTGACTCATCTTCCGTTTATAGCCCCGAAGTCGTCCCCGGAGATATCGTTCTGCTGAAGATGGGTGACACCGTCCCCGCAGATATGCGCATGTTCGAAGCTATGAACCTTGCCTGCGAGGAAGGTCAACTGACCGGCGAGTCGATCCCCGTCGAGAAGGTAACGGACAATAGCATTCTGGTCCCTGGCTCCGAGAACCTTGCTACCGAGGAAGGGGAGGTCGGCATTGGTGATCGAGTCAACATGGCATATGCCACCACTGTTGTCCGAAAGGGCCGTGGCCGTGGTATTGTTACTTTCACCGGCATGTCCACAGAGGTCGGCAAGATCGCCGCTTCAACCTCCAAGAAGACTCGCAAGGCTGGCCGCTCTATGAACTATAAGAAGTACGGTAAGCGCCAGCCCGTTATCGGTTTGTCCAAGCGTATTTACGATGCTGTCGGCAAGTTCCTTGGTCTCACTGAGGGCACCCCTCTCCAGCGTAAGCTTGCAGCCCTTGCCTATGTCCTCTTTGGCTGCGCCTGTCTGCTCGCCATTGTCGTGTTTGGTGTCAACAAGTTCAACATGCGCAACGAAGTCATCATTTATGCGACTTCTCTGGGTATCGCCATCATTCCTGAATCGCTTGTTGCCGTCTTGACCATCACCATGGTCGTTGCTGTTACCGTCATGCGCAAGGCCAACGTCGTTGTCCGAGACTTGTCTGCTCTTGAGGCACTCGGCGGTGTTACCAACATTTGCTCCGATAAGACCGGCACTCTCACCGAAGGCGCTATGATTGTCCGCCAGACATGGATTCCCGGTAACCATCTGTACACTGTTCATGACTCTCAGAGCCCCAACGACCCCACCAAGGGACGTGTCACCTACTCTCAGGCTAAGAACGAACCTGATGCCCCCAAGGAAGAGGAGAAGCGCGACTATGACCAAGAGCGTAGCGCCGCTGTCCTCAAATTCGATGTTCCCGATGAGAAGCTTAACCCCTCGAGGAAGCGCGAGCCTGAACCTGAGATGGCTGTCGAGATGACTGATGCTCTCCGTGCGTTCCTTCTGTCGTCTGCCCTGTGCAACCTGGCTACCGTCAGATTCGACGAGGAAGAAGAGAGGTGGCAAACAACTGGCGAGCCCACTGAAATTGCGCTCCAGGTCTTCACCCACCGCTTCAAGTCCGGCAAGAAGACCCTCGAGGGCAAGGGCTGGTCTCAGGTTGCCGAGTTCCCCTTCGACAGCGGCATTAAGCGCATGTCCGTCATCTACAATGCCCCCGAGGGAGAGAGTGGTTCCATCATCGAACAGAACAACAGCATGGTGTTCACCAAAGGTGCTGTTGAGCGTGTACTTGACCTTTGCGATTACATGGGTACCGGCGAGGCTCAACAGCCTGTGACTGACGAGCTCAAGGAGACCGTCCTCAGACAAATGAATGCTCTTGCTTCACAGGGACAGCGTGTTCTTGCCATTGCCTACCGCCCTTGGGACGGCCGATATGAGGCCAAGGCCACATCCTCTGCCTCCGAGGAGGAAAAGATCCGTGGCGATGTGGAGAAGGGCCTGATTCTTCTTGGTCTTGCTGGAATTTACGATCCCCCCCGCCGAGAGACGAAGCCTTCTATTGCCGAATGTTCCAACGCTGGTATCAAAGTTCACATGCTGACTGGCGATCACCCGGAGACTGCCAAGGCCATTGCCAAGGAAGTCGGTATCATTCCTAAGAATCTTGGTGTTCTCCCTGCCCATGTTGCTGAGTCCATTGTCCAAAAGGCTACCGAGTTTGACAAGATGTCTGATGATGAAATTGATGCCCTTGAAGAACTTCCCCTTGTCATTGCTCGATGCGCTCCTGACACTAAGACCCGCATGATCGAGGCTCTCCGTCGTCGCGGTGCTTTCATGGCTATGACCGGTGATGGTGTCAATGATGCTCCCTCTCTGTCTCGTGCTGATGTTGGTATTGCTATGGGTTCCGGCTCTGATGTCGCCAAGTCTGCTGCCAAGATTGTGCTCACTGACGATAAGTTCAACTCAATTGTTGCTGCTATTCGTGAGGGTCGCCGCATGTTCGACAACATCCAGAAATTCGTCTTGCATCTGCTGACCTCCAACGTTGGTGAGGTTATTCTGCTGGTTGCTGGCCTTGGCTTCACCGACAGCGATGGCTTCTCTGTGTTCCCCGTCTCTCCTCTCCAGATCATTTGGATCAACATGGCTACATCTTCCTTCCCAGCCTTTGGTCTTGGTCGTGAGCAGGCCGCCCGTGATGTCATGCGCAAGCCCCCTCAAGACAAGAAGCGTGGTGTCTTCACTAACCAAATCATCGTTGATATGATCGTTTATGGTGTCATCATGGGTGCTTGCACTATGATTACATTCTGCATTATCATTTACGGTGCCAATGGTGGCAACCTGGGTACTGGCTGCAACCAAAAGTACAATGACTCTTGCGACGCTGTCTTCCGCGCCCGTGCTGCTACCTTTGCCGAGCTTACCTGGTTGATTCTCATCTCTGCTTGGGAGTTCAAGTCTCTCCGACGATCCATGTTCCGTCTCCATCCCGATGATGACAGCACCTTCCCCTTCTTCAAGGACATCTACGAGAACCGCTTCCTGTTCTGGTCCGTCATTGTCGGTGGTCTCTCCGTCTTCCCTG